CCTGTGAAGTGGAGAACAGGATGTCCTCAGCCTGGAGCTAGACTCTGGGCTTGGATGGGGTGGGTTGTGCAGCCAGAGAGTGAATCAGTGAATGTTTTTAGAGTTCCTCTGGGGTGCAGAGCTCTTGCTATGGACATAAGTCGCAGCACATGTCCTCCCCTGCTTCCCCAAGAGTTCCCAGCCCGGCAGTGGAGCCTGCAGAGACTGCTGTAGGATCTCCTAGAGGAGACACGTCTGACTGTTGCTGGCAGACAAGCTTCCTGGAAGAAGGTACTGGGTAGGATTTGCCAGATGGAGGCGGAGGCCACTGTGATGGTTCTGTGATGGGGAGGCATGCAGCAGGTCTGTGCGCAGGGCCCTGAGACCTAAGCAGAGAAATCCCCGACAGGAACATAGAGGAAGCTCAGTCAATACAGGGCAGTGATGTCAGCCCATCCTCTCCTGTTCCTCCTGCTAATTAACATCTCTAAGTGGCACAGCCCCCTCAGGAAAATCAGTGGCACTTTGGGGCAGAGCCCAGAAGCCATACTGGGCATATTGATTAGTAAATTTACATGTGTCTCCTCCTCTCCTACTGTAGTTGCCTTCCCTTAGAGGTTTCCAGAAAGGCAGGTCACTCATCTTCACTTTCTACAGCTTGTGTGTGTTGGAAAGAAGAGACAGGAATGTTTACCTGGGGCTTATTGGGAGGATGGGTTCCTAGACCTCACCTAGCCTGGCTTCTGAAACCTGCTTTCCAACATGACACCCAGTTGGCTCCCATGAGGAGCCCAGGAGTGCTCTCAGCAGTGGGCCCCTGACCGAGGGGTCTGGCTTCTTAAAGCCCCTTCTCCTATGCTGCTGCCACCCCAGCCATCAGTTCCACTGAGAGACAGCTCTTGACCACCAAACTCTCCCCAACACTAGCTGAAATATCACTCGAGGAAAGGACTTTCCTCGGCCCTCATAGACCTGGGTCAGTCCCCGTGTCCCATATGCCATGTGCGGGAGCTGCCTCGTTCTCCTGCGTGTGCCCTTCTCTCCCTCCTAGGATAGCCCCTGTCCCATCCAGCTGCCTCACTGCACACATTCTCCAGCTGCTCACAGGTCTCTGAAGACCTCAGGAAAACAAGAGCAGCACATTGGGCCTCTTTCCCTCGTCTGTCTGCAGCCGTCCAGAAGGCCCTGACCTGGAGAGTGGGGAGGGCAGTGAGGTCCTCGTGCGCAAAGCAGGGGGAGGGGGATGAGTGCAGGCCGCAGAAACTAACCTGCTTCTGGGGCCTCAGGTCTGAACTCCCACCATGACACGCAGGTACAGACACAGAGACCCACAGAGATGCAGAGGCACACACCCTTTCGCCTGCTTTAACTTGCCCAGTTGCTTCTCAACCGTATCTTGAGCTTCTTGAAACAGGAACCCTGTCTTATTCCTGTCATCTCTGTACCTGGCACACCATGGGGATGAATGGCCGAGGGGGGGTGTGTGAGTCCATCTCTGGGTGTACTCTGTGTGTGTGTGTGTGTGTGTGTGTGTGTGTGTCTGTCTCTGGGTGTACTTGTGTGTGTGTCCACCTCTGTGTGTACTCATGCGTGTTCCCAGAAGTCTGTGTTCACATACTTGTGTCATGACCATCTGCTCCTTCCCCTCTGTGGCCTCAGGAGTGTTTGCCTCCATTTCTGCAGAAGTCTGAATATCAGAGGTCACTTTCTGAGTGACCTTAACTCCTCCATAATCTGAGGGTCACCATCTCCCACAGGTCTGGAGGCTTCAGGCCTCAGCTAGTGCCTCCTTCATGGACCCTCTGGCAGGGGCACCTGGAGGGAAGTGCTATCTTCACCTCTCGCTCCCTGTCCCATGGATGCTTTGCCACCTGCCACTCTGCCGCTATGTGTCATACCCCTGCACGTGCTTTCTGGTGCTGCGTTGACCCGGCCCTGAAGCTGGGCTGGGGACAGGACTCTGCCGTGCCTGTCACCGCGAGTGGGGCCAGGAGGCTGGTGTGAGGAATCCCCATGTGGGCTCAAGTCGCCCCCAGCTTTGTAAATCAGGGTGGATGAAAGGGTTAACCAGAGAGCCTGAGGCCCACGGGGTCTGGATGCTGGAGCTTGCTGTTATGAGAAAGAGTCTGCTAATGAGGCCACTTTCCAAGAAGGCCAGCCCAGCCAGGGGCTGCCAGTGCGGAGCAGCCGCTAATGAGGGCTGGCAGGGCTGCCAGGACAGGTGCCTAATGAGGTTAGTGAGTGGGGACCCGGTGGGATGGCCTGAGGGCTCTGGTGGCATTTCAAGGGCAGAGCACAGCAGGGCCATGATCAGGAGCCCAGGGAGGGAGGGAATACAGGGCTGGGGTGTGGCCAAGGAGAAGCCTCTTCCAAACAAGGTTCACAACAACGCTCGGCCCAGCCAGGCAGCCCTGGCCTCCCAGCAGGGGGTATGGGCCCCTGGACCCTCCAGGGAGTGGAGGACAGGCAGGATAATGAGCTGAGCACCGCATCTGAGGAGCAGTGATGAGTGGCTGCGACTTCACGCCCGCCCTGCCCAGCACCCGCTCACTCCTGGTCCACAGCTCTCCAGGCGCCCGCAGTGCCCAGCCATTGCAACTCCTTGCCCTACAAGAACCCGACGAGGTTAGTGGACGCAGCCATGGCTCTGCCTCTGGGAGCACAGAAAGACTTTCTAAGACACCCTGAGTTCTGGCTCTTGAGCAAACAAAATCAGGGTGCCCTGCCTGCTCCTCCCCACTGACACACGAAGCAGGACTCGCACCCAACCCATTGCCCGCGCTCTGGTGGGCTGCCCAGCGCTGAGCCCTGCTCCTCGGCTCCCACCCAGCACAGTCTGATCCGAGGGGCTGGTGGTGAGATGGAATGAGCTGATGACATGGGTCGCAAAGCCTCCTGCAAGTCTGATCGTTTCCAATTCCCTTTTTTCAGCCAGATTTAAAGAGGACTTAATCAAAAGGCCAGCTGATAGGTCATTTTTTGCTGACAGATCGTTTTCAATAATAGATCAGTATGCAATTTTGGGCATGCATCTCAGAAGCGGAATATAGAGAATTGAGTGACATTGCCAGATCATCTACTTATTTATGTGGAAAGGCTTCTCCACACCCACAGCTATAAACAAGGGGAAGAAAGAAGCGAAGCTTAGACCCATTCATTCTGGCAATAGATAACCATTTGTGGATATCCAGTCGATTCATAAATTATTAGATTCCTCTCCATTTCATTAAGATGTGTTTTCAATAAATTTTCCTTTTTAACAATTACTTATAAAAATGGTATCTATGTTGTTTTAATTAATTGTTTGCTACATTTTATATCAAAAAGTAGTTGCAATATGTCAATCCAGAAGGTTCTTAAAAAACCCTTAGAACCTTTGGTCACAGGAAATGAAATATTTTAATTTTAATTCTTACATATGCTTTGTGGCAGAGAAGTATGATAAGGTAAGCAATAAAAGACTTTCAACCATAAAAATACTGTATTCGTATAAAATTCGGGATGGAGACACATGCTCAAGAGAAAGGGATCAAGGGAAAGTCTTCAACTGCCGAAGAGCGGGGTCACGTGTTTTTAAAATAGCTGAGGATGGGTGTTGAATCACTGAGGTGCTTGGATTTCTTTTGATGTATTTTAAAGTGTGGTGGCAGTTTTATTTTTAAATGTAAATATTTACCAAGTGCCAGACATCACATCCTTTGCACATTTTAAAACTTAAGTAAAAAAAAAAAAAATTAAATGTCAACTTAAAAATGTGCAAGGTGGGATACACAATTTTTCAAAATTTATTTCCGTGGGCGGTATCCAGAGCAAAAGCCCCTTTGGGACCAATGACCTGATGGCTTGTTCCTCCCTGACTCCTGCTGCTTTCTGGTAGGGTGCAGGGAAAGATGGAAGCCAAGCCCAGGAGCTGCCCTGATGGTTGTTGCTCATGGAGACTTGTCTGCCCTTCTCACCGGATTCCAGAGCCTTGGCCTTTGGGACAGGGCAGCTGCACACCTCCTCCATACAGAATTAAACCACCCTCGGTTGGGGGGCTGGGACCAGGTATTAGCCTGGGGGCACTTTAGCCATAATAACCCCAAACCTACTTCAGGTCAGAGAGGAACCTTGAGAGCCCAGGCCATGCCCAGGGCCCAGCCCCATGCCTCTCCACTGAAGAAGCCAGGGCCAGAGTGTGCTGAGGATGGACGTGGCCCCACAGACCCAGCCACGATCCTTGGCCCATACCACCCTTCAGTGCCCCCTTGACTTGCCCTGAGGGAAGGCCACTTCCAGGAGGCGTGGTTTGTTTCACGGGCAGCAGAGATATTGTTTCTGAAGATGTTGTTTCTGATTAGTTCCAATCACCAAAGATGCACTTGGGTTTCTGCTATCCCCATCCCACTCCCTCCTCCCGTCCCCCACGCTCTGCTCCTTGTTTTGACCTGCACAATGCATCTGGTTGGCCTAAGGATGTGACTGCCCCGCCTGTGTCTTCCCCTTCCCCGCCCCTTCAAGCCCCCAATCTGGGGTCGAGGCAGGGAGAAGGTTTCCCGGGAGAGGAAGCCAGCCTTCTTCATGGAGCTCCAGGGGCAGGGTCATGGCTGGGGAGAGGATGGAGGGGCAGCCTGGTCAGGTGTCAGGATGGAGGGGCAGCCTACCCAGTGAGGCTTCTCTAGGGTAAAACCCATGGATGAAACCGCCCAATTAAGCCTTTACTCCCACTGGTGTGTCCCCTCATCCACAGAGGGCGCCACGGAGCATGGAGGCGGAGGGCAGTGAGCAGGGCTCAACCACCACCTGGCTGGGGGACCTCGAGTGGGACAGAACGGTCCCGTGTCTGCCACGAACTAGCTGTGTGAGTTGGGCAGGCCCTTCCCCGCTTGGGCCTGTTTCCTCGTGTGTGAATGGGGTACAGTGAGGATCTGGTGAGAGAGGCTGGGATGGACGAAACGCCTGAAGACATCTGATCTGCTCTTCTCATGGGGGTCCTGTGACTGCCCTCTGCTCCCTCTCGCACGGAGAGGCCCCCACTGGCCCTGGTCCCTGCGGGTCCCCTTCTGCTGCCGCCCCGCCCCTTCCTGCCAGGCCGGAGAGTCGGTGTCTCCCTTCTGTCCTGCCCCTCCTGAGCCTGCACAGCATGGAGATCCCAGAGGAAGAAGGCAGAGGAGGAACACAGGGGGAGGCAGGTGACTGAGGGTCACACAGCAGCCGTCTGCTTGATGCTGTGGAAGCTGATCCGCGTGGGTGATGTGGGGATGGACATGGCTCGGGCCACGGGCACTCGGAGGGAGTGATGGTCCTGCCAGCGGTGCCATCTCTTCCTCACCGCTGAGCGCACCTGCAGGGGAGGAGAGCCTCAGCCGGCCTGCAGGGGCCAATCCCGGGCTTCTGGGACAGTCCTTTCTCCTGCTCCCTGCCCTCATTTCTAACCCTGATTGGACCTGGTGCCATGTTATTCTCAACTGTACTGTAAGTGAAGAATTTTTTTGGAAATGGACCGTGTCCCCACATGCTAGCCCAGCACACGGTTTGAGCAGAATAAATGCTCCTTAAACGTTCACTGCTTGTTGGCTCTGGTGACTTCTCTCCCTGTCCTCCAGCCCACAAGATGGCTCTGCTGACAAGACTGTATATCTGGGATGTGCTCTAATTGACAAAGACTCAAGCCTGCATAGATGCCCTACCGCTGCGCTGTGCAGATGCAGGAAAAGGGGCCGCATGGGGACACCTGCATTTCTCTGGAGTGCTTGGGGGCTCTCAAACCATGGTTGTGGTTCCGTATCCTCGCCCACCCCTGGCCCGAGTGTCTGTCTCTCCTGAGTCTGTCACGCTGGGATTCTAGGCCTTGTTGGCCAACCTGGTCTCACATCCCAGAGCCCCATCCTGGGGGTGTGGTCTTTTCTGTGGCAGGTCAGGGGAACATGCTGGTCTCTTCTGTTCTTTGAGTCCATAAACTCCTGATTGTATGGCACACATCTCACCTCCTGGAAGCTTCCTCCCGTCACCACCTCTGTTCTGGCTTCTGTCTGCCATGAGGCCCTGCAGCCTGGGGTCCTCTGCTCACCCAGCTCTCGAATGCATGTGTAGGGCACTGGCATATTATTTGGGGCCTGCATAGTTGAACTTCTACACTGGCTCCAGTCCCCGCAGGGAAGATTCCTGTTGCTCTAAGACTGGTAGTGTCTCAGGCCTCCCTCTCCCTCTTCCAGGGCAGAGCTGAGCAGAGCTGGGGACCTTGGCTGTCCTGAAAGGCTGGGCAGCTCCAATGGAGTAGAGTGTGAGGACCTTGAGAGCCCAGGCCACCCCAGGGACCCAGCCCCATACCTCTCCATTGAAGAAGCAGTAGAAGACAGACACAAAGAAACCCTGGAAGGGAAGGAAGGAGCAGTCAGTGACTCATTGGGGGAGCTGCTCTGTCTGGGGGGGTGGAGTTGGGTCAGAACGGCTGGAGGAGCACTCTGACCCCATGGACTCAGAGCTGGGAGGGTCCCCAGCTCTCAGGGTGCAGATAAGCCAGTGAGAGGGATATCCTGAGTACGAGGTGGTCTCAGGCCCGGGGCTGGGACTCCCGCCTCCTCAATATTGTGTGGCCTGTCTCTGAATCCTCAGGACAACTGCTGGGACAGCAGTAGGTGCAGCCTAGTAAGACCCAGACCCAGTCAAGGGGAGGGGCTGAGCCCACCTGCGCCCTGGGGCGGGGGTGACAGGCTCAGGCTCAGAGTTTGCACAGGCTTCTGTTTCCATGTGCATGTAACTGAGCCACACGTGTCTCTCAGCCACAGCCGCCTGAGTACCAGGTCAGGAAAGGCCACTGTGGGGGGGCCCTGTCTGGTTACGGGCCCCACCTGGAAGGACTGCAGGAAGGAGTTGAAATAGATGAACACGATCTGCGACAGGTCGTCCTCCCCGGGATTGACAAAGAAGAGCATGTAGGTGATGCCCAGGAGGGGCAGGAGGACCAGGGTGGCCTTCACCGCCTTCCTGGGGGACGAGAGGCAATGGCACAGGTCTGAGCCCACGCTGCAGGCAGGACCTCCCTCAGCTGGGACGTTGGGAGACGCGGTGGCTGTGTTCCTTCCAGGAGCTTGAGGACTAGGACAGAGGGCCCTGCTGGGAGGCAGAGGGATGGCCGCGATGACCTTGTTTCTCCCCGGCCACAGGTCAAGCCATCATTCACATACCTGTACTGGATCGTCTCAGATGTGGTGGATGCTCGTAATTTTGTCATTAGGATCCTGACGATGTTGAACAGAAAAACAAAATTGATCTGAAGGGAGGGAGGGAAAAGTGGGAAGGAAGGAACGTGAGTCAGAGTTGTGCTGAGAGGTAGCCATCTCTCCCTGGAAGCCCCCTGAAGACCCATGTCCCAGCCACACACCCATCCCACCCGTCCCCCAAAGCCTGCTGGTGTCCAAGACCTCTTCTCCTCTCTCACCAGCGCAGGGAGATAGCCCTGTTTGCCCCAGGACCTACCTCTCCGTCCCACACCTGAAAGCAGCCTCTGAGGGCAGTAGACAGGATCACGGGCCATACTTCCCAAGGTGCAGTCTTCAGAGAGCCCCCAGGCCTCTCCCCCATTCAGGGACCCCACGGGAGTCCCTTCTGCCACCGGTGACAGTGGGTCCCTCTGAGCCCTTGCACTGTCACTGGCTCTAGGTCACCCGAGGTCCTTTTGACTGAGGACAACCCAGCCCTAGTGGGGCGGACCAGGCCAGATGGAGTGATTAATGACCTGGCTCCCAACGAGTGATTAATCTCTCCCCATCCCGCCCCTGTGCTCAGGAACTCCAGAACCTTCGGAGACACGAGGCAAGGAAGACAAATGGGCTACGAGGCTGGCTCCCGGGCCCCAGAAAGGCCTCATTTATCTTCATTCTGAGCCTTTCCTCAGCACCAAGTCGCCCATTCAGCCCTGGGCCCGGAACCGGCTGACGTGGGCTCCGAGCAGCTTCCTGTGGCATGTGGGTCCCCGTGGGCCTGTGGGTCTGACTGTCCATCTGTGTTGGCTTGTCCCTGTGATTGTGCACTGTCCCTCTGTGACTATGGTGTGGGTCTGTGGGCCCATTCTCTGTGTACTTGTGTAAGTATATTTGCCTCAGAGAGCGTGTGCACATGCGAGTGTGTATCTGGGGACATGGCATGCCTGCGTTTCTCTTCAGCTGCCTCTGAGCATAAGCAGACAGGAATGGAAGTGCATGTAGACCTGACATAGTGAAACTATTGCCTAACAGAGTGAGTGCCCATGAACCAGAGGAAGACACATATTAGCCCGGGATGTCTGCTGGTGCGTGTGTATGTGTGTGTATGTGCGAGAGTGCACACACACACACCCTCATCTACCCACCAAACAATTCATTCCATTGTTTACCTACTCTTTTATCCACCCACCCACTCACCACCCACCCATCTATCCATCCACCCATCCATCCAAGTTTCTGTCTAGAAAATCCATTGCTTCTTAAGCTTTGAGCCCTTCTAAGCCTCCAAAGTTCTGAATGCCAGGCTGGGAGTAGGGAACACAGACAGACATCATGGGGCTGTCAACCCTGTAGCCTCTGGATGCCCCCCAAAGCTTGTGGGTGGCTTTGAGGGCAAAGAAGACTCAGACCCCTCCTTGGCCACAACTTGCTGCTCTCGCCCCACACCATGGTATCACCTGGTGGGCTCAGGGGAGGGCTGGTGGTGGAAAGCCTTCAGCGGGACTGCCATGACCTGCTTTCTCTTAGGGCTCACCTGATTTCTAGCTCCTAGGTTTCTGGTATATTCCCTTGGATCATAGGGCACAAGTCACCTTAATGCATAGGTCAATCCTAATGTCCTCATCTAAGTAATACAAAATACTTGACCTTTTCTCATTCTTTTTGACTTCTCTGAGAGTAAAGACTGTTGGAATCAACATCATTCTCATTTCTGCCACACTTCCTTGCATTAAGTATTACCCAGTGTCCATCAACCTACAAACCAATTCATTCTACTATCTGCTCACTTTTGCCCAACAACTAATTCATTCAATTATCCACCCATTATTTTATTCAATCATCCAACCATCCACTTACCTATCAAACAATTCATTCAATTGTCTACCACTCTTATCCATCCATCCATCCATCCACACACCCACCCACCCACCAGCCAATTCTTTCAGTGTGGCGCATCTGGGACACAAGGCCTTGACCCCTTTTTCACACTAGGCAGGCTGAGATGGGTGGGGCAGCATCACTGAATGTCTTTTTCACCTTTGGGCTTGTTTCCCAGCCTCCCCCTTCACAATACCACAGGCACTTTCTCTCTCCAGGGAGCCTTCTGGTCACCCTGCCCCAACTGAGCTCTCCAGCTCTCCATTCTTGGACTCCGACTTACTGCCCCTCCTCCAAATAAAACGCCCCAGCTCTTCAGTGAGCATTGGTTATTGTGCCCTAACCTTGTTCTGCCTGGTTTCTGATTTTAGCTCATCATCCATTCAATGAATTAACTTACCATGTGCCAGTCTCCAGGTCAGGCACCAGAGATGGGGAAGTGGACAGTCCCTACCTGCAGAGGGATTTCAGTCTAGCTGGGGGTGGGTAGGGCCCGGGGTATTGCATCTTTCCTAAGGGGTCAGAAAGAGCTGGAGAAAACGATCACTTGTCTAACTAATCCTGAATTGTAACCCACATCTTTAAAATAAATAAAAAATTTTTAAAAGAACTAGAGAAACGACAGGTGAGCTGAGAGCTAAAGAAAAGGACCACCTCCCAAACTAGCTACAGAACCAA